GAGGCAGCACTTCCACAAAAACACAACACAGAGAAGGTCTCTTTCAATAATTAGCTCCAATTTACATAGCTTTCCCCATGATGCTAAGTGTATTTGATGAGTGCCACCATGATGTATGAGACAGGAACTATAGCATGAAAGCTCCAGAGGTTCAATCAGCTGAGGTTCCTTGCATCAAATACACAGTGCGTGAATGCTCCCAATTTAGTGAAGACATTTGTCCTGAGGCTAAAGCATTGATTCTCCACTTACTGTCTTTTAATTGTGATGTATCCAATTTATCTTTTTAGGCTATAAACTCTTAGGGGAAAAGGTTCTTCTTCACTCTGCATGCTGTTCTCATGCCAGCTTTTTTTTACTGCACGTAAACCACATTCAGGTTAAATCATTTTCATATTAGCTGGATAACACTTTTGTATTGCTAGAATTAATTGCTGTAACATGTATTTTTTCCTACAACAATGTCTGATGTAGGGATGAATCAGTGGTGACAACATTATAAATAAATGAAGAGTAACAAATAGAGGAACATTCCAGATGTTGTAAAAATGTCCTTTTCTACTCAGAAAACTGTTTGTTCATCCATGCCATGGTAATGTTTATGCTTTAGTAGTATAAACTCCTGCGCACAAGCACTGCTTTCTACTAGTCCAGAAAAAAGGAAGCCATCCAGGATGTTTGTTTTTATTGTTTTTCCCCTCCAGAATTGCAGGTGCTCTGTTTTACTGCCATTACCCCCAGGCCTATCTGCTGCCCCAAATTCACATTTACACTCCTGCCATGTATGAATTGGCCAAAGTGCACAGCCCTTCGTTCCCAGATATTCAAGCTTGATGATTCACAGGCGATAAAATGTGACAGGACTTTTCACCAACAAATGAACTGCAGGGCATCCTAATCAGTAGGCAAGGCAGCTCTAATAACTGGGTTACAGCGTAAGGAAATAAACTCAAATGGAGCAGAACATTCATAAGACAAGAAACGCTACATGCTACTCAGCCTAAAGCACCACTGGTGCTATACAAAGACATCCAACTAACACAGTAACTTTTTTTTCCCCTTTGGAAGCAGGATTCCTTTCAACTGCCAGTTAAAGACGGTCTCAGCAGCGCGTGAACAAGAATGGCAACCGCTTACAGCCCCCAGCATGACTACTTCAGGCTTCTTTTCCCTTTCCAATTGCAGCAAACTGCAGTCCGACAGACAATGGAGTGTTTTGTTGTTGTGGTGGTTTTAATTTGCAGAGTTAGGATACTGCTGGTTTTCAGCGTTTTCAGGTCTGGTTGACAGGCAGGACAGGACACACACCAAGCCGCCCACATGCCAGCTGCTGTCCCTGCCGCAGGAGGTGCCACACGCTCAGAGGCTCACACAGAACCCACTTGGGTGGCTCTGGCATCAGCTGCAGATGAATTTGTGCTAACAGTGAAAAACACTGTCCCCAGAAGGGCATCTGTCCCCAAATGTTGCTTCTCAAAGGACACCTGCTCTGGATCTTTTTCCTAAGCTGTGCCAAACGAAAAGGTTTGCTTGTGTCAAATACACAAAGCCTCGCTCCCTCTGTTCCCCTGCGGACAGCCTAAGCTCAAAGTGAATTTGTGATGCTGTCACTACAATGGCAAAACTCTCTTTGGTTCAAGGCAATCATCTTTTCAAAAAACTTGAGCCTCTACATCCACAGCAGGATCCCTAATGAGATTTTTCTCCCAGCAAAATTATTTTTTCTAACACACTTGGGTCCCTCAGTCACTGCTAAAACTCCTACTGACTGCAATACAGGGTAAATTTCTAAGCACAGACCACAGGATCCCTTCTTCCAGCAGACAGGATGTGCAGAAACCTGTCCCAGGATCTGAAGACAGTTTCCTCTGAGCAGCAGAGCCCCTCTCTCCATCCAGCCCACAGCAGTTGGGAGACCATGGCTTTTGCTGGTACTGTAAATGACATGCCTGGTAGACTGAGGCATTGCTCTGAATCACTGGAGCAATGAAAACAGCTGAGGAATTTGATGCATCCTATTCCATCAAGAAGGGCCCTGTGTGCCAAGTCTCACTAGGATAAGAAGTGTCAGGGACCTCAGACAAGCTATGGGTATGGCACTAGACTATTACGGCCCTTAACTGATCATACAGAAGAATGGGGGAAAATAAAACAAAGTACTTCTTCCCTACTCAGTTGTGCTCAGATTATGATGCAAGACATAGGAAAAAAAAAAGAGATGGGGCTGAAGAGAGATGGGAAGGGACCCAGCAAGATGGATAAGAAAAGCTATAGATAGAAAAACTCTCTGACTGAAGATGGATGAGCATAGCAAAATACAAACTAGAGTATCTGCTGGTTCTTTTGGGCAACAGTTTTCTGATCAATGCTCCAAGTCAGTATCTAGAAAAAATATGCTTTAAAATGGATATAGAAGTTCATTTTGGGATTTCTTGAACACTCTCTCCTTCCACCAAAACCACAAGTCCATTACTGAAATTAGTGAAATCACAGCCAAAAGGTGAGTACAGTTCTAAAGGTAATGTCTGCACTTTGCACAGTGTAACCCGAGCCTCAGCAGCAAGAAGCAAGAAAAGGTTAGGCCTGGGCATATCCTTTGTTATCCCCTTCCCCATCTGTGCAGTAAGAGTAACACCACTTGCCAATGGTACAGGGTGCTGTTAAACATTCAAATACTTTAGTAAGGGTTGGGCATGTACTGCAGAGAGCCAGATGGAGAAAGCCATCTGATGGTGTCAGCTGGGACTGGAGTTTGGAGGATCACACTTAGCTGAAAGCCTTCACACAGGCAGGAATCAGCCCAATATTTTTCTCTAAACTCTAAAGGAGTTTTCAAATCTATAACACTTTCCCCCACCTCTTTGCACTCATACAGAAGGGTCCATCCAGGTTCATATTGCATAACCTTTGTTGCCATTCCTTTCTTTTGTTGTCTTCATGTTTGCCTTACAATGCACAAAATAAGTCATGCAGCAAAACAACAGAGAAAAAGATGCTGCACCTACAACACTGTTGGCCTCTCTGGTCTGCAAAAAACCACACCAGCTATTTTGCAATCCAGAAAGGCAGAGAAAATTAGAAGATGATAGAAAAAGAATGCTATTTCCAAGGACACTGGTTTGGCCCTCAAACAGAAAACTGTTATCTGATACCACTTTTAATTGTATTTTATTTTTCAGTCATACACAGTATACTCAACTAAAGGTCATAATAGGTGGTTCTCATCTGATTTCTATGGAAGACCATGAGTACTGTATGAAGAGGATTTTTTTTTAAACACGAGTCTTGCTCAGCTGCAAGGGAATGGTTGCTTTATTTCCCTAGACATACGTATGTAAAGGCCTCAACTGAAGAACTTGGAGAGATTACATACTTGCATATGACAAAGGCACAGGTCCTCAGACATTCCTCTACTAACTCCATACATACTGCTGATACTTAATAACAAAAGAGTAACCCTTCCATACTAGACTTGAAAAATTTGCTTAAGTCGTTCCCACTCAGGTCTAAGAAATGGATGTGAATAAAGCAAAAAAAATTATTCTAATCTCTAACCTACTGGTATTTATTGCGTTGGTTGGCTGGCTTACCTTTCAGAGAAGACTGGGACTACATCAGTGGCATAGACTGTCTTCCCAAATTAATAACTACTGGGAAATTAACAGCAAGTCCTGAGTCAACAATACATGACTCAATACAGGCTAAAAAGAACTTTTTCAGCATCCCACACGATGAAGATATCCAAGGTCAGATCATAATATTCCTCTGAAGACAGCTGAAGGAAACTCTCCAGGCTCTAAAACTGATGAATGGCTTCACTGTGAGCACATCAGACAGGCACAAGACATGAGTGCCTTTTATTCCTAAAGGACGTGCCAGCAGCCCCTACCCAGCATCCAGTTTGCAGCTACTGTGTGCATCCAAAGAAGGCAAAGAGAAACCACCAAAGTCTTTTCATGGCTCAGTGGTGAAGAAACTAATCCTTCCTAGCCCTGGTGGAACCAGATGCTGCCAATACACAGCATGGGAGACTTTTCAGTTCTAGAAGTATTAAGATTAAAAAAATCCTAAAACAAAAAACCACACCAAAATAGAAGTTAAAAATTTAAGCTTCAGTGATGTCCACTGAAATCTAAATACACCCATAGGCAAGATAGTTCTTTCCTGAAACCATCTTCCAGACTAAACAATATCTGAGGTCATCCTTTTCTTATGCTGGTTGGACTACAACTCCTCAGCTCATGCAGGTCTCTGCCAAGCCTGGCAGGCAGTGAAATGCTGTCAGCAAGGCCAGACAAGCTTTGGAGGTCATCAAGTCTCTCTGCAGGCTTCTAAAAAATGTTTCACTCTCAGGTGATGAAATTTTCCAACACCAGGCAAGATATACAGCTTTTTAGATCCATTTGAGCCACAGAGCTTTGCTAAGCTTTAGCAAATCAAAATTTCTCTCAAAGAAGCCTCAATCTGTCAAAAATGATGTCCAGTGTTTTGATAGATCGGGTCCTGGGTGCCCGCTTCTTACCACTGATGGGAGTGTGTCACAGTGGCTGCTCCTGGAACTCAGGGACACTGCTGTGAGAATGCTCGTGGCTTGATTTTGAAAAAAGCACCTTAAAACAGGAAAATTTTTCTGGACACTTACCATATTTACCACCTAAGGATCCCAAATCCTCTAGAAGTATCATGTATCATGCAAACCTCACAACAAGCAGTAGAGAGAAGGTAACTTTACAGAAGAGGATGCAGCTAGGATGTGGGACTTGCCTCAGATCAGAGAGGTTATCTGCAACATACTTAGATCTGAATCTGCATTCTCCTGGTGTAGAAACCCACATCTTCATTGAAAGACTACACATTTCTCTGTACCACAGTACACTGCAGAGCAAATCTTACGTTCAGTTTTGATAAAAAAGTATACAAAGCAGGCAGGGAAAGCAAGGCAGAGCACAGTGAAAAACAGGGAACATACATGAAAAAAATAAAATGTCAGCATAACTTACAGGAGCTGCATTGTTTTTCACTGTGACACTCGGAGTTGTGGCTCGTAGGGCCCCGCTCACACCATGGTAGTACTTGAAGCAGATCTTTGTTTCAGCTAAAAAAAAACAAGAAATGGATTATTTAAGATTAGAAGAATTGCCAGGGAGAAGCTGTGTGATCAGTTGCAGCTCACAGGCATAAGACTGGTAAGCAGTTAAGATTTGGAATGGTTCATTCTGTCTGTCTGGCACGACAGGATATCTCCTGCCTCTGATCTTCCCCTTTGCCAGAGTGAAATTTAGAGTTTGGTTCCTGTGATTTAAAATAGTTCAAACCCAAACCTCTTCTGAGCAGCAGTTATGACAGACAGACCTTAGAGCACCTGAGTAGATTCTTTTAGCTACATCAGGAAGAAAAAAAGTAGGAACAGATAAACCCTCGTTGTTAGACACACTAAACACTAATGTGCTAAGAAATTGGGAAACTTTTTTAGGACAATGAGATTGCATAGTTGCTCGCTGACAGGTTTCACTGTGCCAATACATTCTGGCCTTGGTCAGGGCAAGGACATAGATCTCCACAGATTAACTGCTCTGTCAGCTACAACATTAAAGCATTTTTCAGAAACAGCAGAGGATCACCAGACCCTGACTCAGTGTATTTCCACTGACTTCCAGATGTTTAGATTAGGTGAGGAACACAGGAAAGATCATGATTTTGGGCATTGACATTCAAATAAATAATACTAAGTGAGGGAAACTCATTCCAATAACTGTATCAAGGCATATAAGTGAAAATAGCTTCTTGCTAATCAGCCCCTCACAACCCCCTTTCTTGTGTGCTACAAGAACGAAAGACAGTTTCATCCAGCTTTTCTGTTGGACTGTAACTACAAACAGATGTGAATTGCTAGTATTTGCCATGATCCTGCTCCCCTTCTTCCCTGGAACCGGTGACCTCCTGGTGCACATCCTGGCCTGCCTGCTGGCAGCAATTATCCACTGTTATATATGTAACAGGTATGTTCCTCGGATCTGAAAAACACCTGTTTAAATAAAAGCAGCATTCACATTTTCTAATTTTAACCAGAAAATGCCATGGAAATTTTCGTCTGTTCCATAAAATACTTGAAGGTGCTCTTCCTAATCAAGTTTTTCCTTAACACCTCCTTTGCAGCTGCTGCTGAAGCCCAAGGAAAACACCAGCCTTTGCCTGCAGAGCCACAACAACATTCACTGCAACTACAGTGCCTATGTAGGAAAATAATAAAGAAATGCCAGCTATGTATTTTAATATAAAAATTGTATTGCAGTTTTAACACCAGTAACAATGTAAGCTAAATCACTGCAGCTGTGACAAAAGATTATGCAATATTAAGAGCTGAGACTTTGGCCACAGATTATGGTGCTGTTTGCTAGATCCAAGAAACAGCCACGCAGTGCTCCAAGTGGAAGCAAAACTTGGAGATGTGAAAAGTGGTGGAAGCTCTCAAAAATGCAGGCCTGAGTCACTTACCCTGATGCCCACACACACACACAGGGATACAAGACGAAAAAGAAATCCTGATTTTTTTGAAAGACAAAATAATTTTAGAAGTGCAAAGCCTTCCCGACTTTCACATGTGACTTGGGAGATGAAAAGCAAAGAGCTTAAGTTCCCAAGTAACTGGAGCACCGCTGGCTTTCAGGTGGGTTCTTAGTGCTGCTCCCTGAGGAGCCCTGCAGGAACGCACACCCAATTGGTGTCAAGCACAGTGCCAGAGTAGTTCATCTGCTGACGTATTTTTCATCCCCACAGCTTGCTCCTCAGACGACCAGGTGCACATTTCTGCTCACATGGTGAAAATACATACATCTCCCACTATATGCACAGACGTGTGCATGTGTTTCATTTACCTCACAGCATTCCATAAGAACTGGAGCAGGCTGCAGAGTCCTTCAGCACCTCCATGAGGGGCTGTGGGGCCCATCCTGGGGTTTAATTCACAACTAGGCCCCAATTCTGCAAATTCAAGAGACTTGCTTGAGGTGTCAGTGCAGCTGAGCAAGCAACCCTATTGTTGCACCTGGGAGCAGCAGTTGTTTCCTTTTAGCAGCAAAAAAAGCTAGATGAGCCCGTGGGACTGAAAAACTGCAAGTCCAGATTGAATTTTCACATTGTAATTTTCTCTACAGGACTTTTAACAGCTCAGCAGCTAACTCATTTACTTGCTGAGAGGACAGCAAAAGCTGAGGGTATCACAATAGCTAAAACATGCAGTTCTCACCAATTATTCAAATCTTAATTTTCCTCTCCCTTGGAGATTTTTAGCTACAGTTTGCATGGAACATTGAGAGCTAAAAGAAAAGGACGCTTTCTTTTTTTTTTTATTAACTTGTGTAGCTAATAAAATATAACTTCAGGTACTAGCCTGCATGACAATGTTAAGACCCCACAGCAAGAAATTTTGTCTTAGGTTGACAAGTAGGAAATCAGTTACCACATACACTGGGAAACTACGGTTTAAAAGAATCCATTTAATTAAACTAAAAGTATTAGACAGAGAGAACACAAGGAGAAAATAATATATCCATATGTAGTTAATCTGGATATTAGTACTACTTTCAAGGACAAAGGATTACTAAGATGACTGAATACATATTTGGAAAGAACCCTGTGGGTATTGAAGGTTCCTCTCAGTTTTACACGACTACTATTTCTAATTAAATTTGCAACCAAACTGCCTTCATACAGGTGCCAACTGGCAAGAAAGCAACTCAGAATGAGGCAAGTGTCACACTGAATCCAAAACAGTGGTAGAGGTGGAGCCATTCATCAGGTAGTAGTTGAGGTGGTGATTAATGAACATCAAAGGTTTCATTCAGAAAACAGATCTGAGAGCAAAAAGTCTTATGGAGGCCTTCGCAGGTTGAGAAGTTGCACTAGAGGCATCAGAGGAAGAACATTTTCTGGGTTCCTCCCTCTCCTTTTTGCTCATATCATTTTCAGACTGAAAATATTAGGAAAATGTCCATTTTCAATGGAGAAACAAAACTTTAACAAATATAAATCTTGCAAAATTATATACAGTTTCTTTATGTGCAAAAAAGACCTAGTTGGGCATTTTTTGGCCAGGAGCCATTCTTTCCAAATAACATTGTCAGTGCAATGTTTTTCACTGCCACAGAGTCCTAACATTTTAATCTATCTGAAGATTCTCTTGCATTCTTGAATCACCTCTGAGACATTTTCAAAACAGATGCAGACATTTGCTGGCTTGGTACCACTGCCTCTGCAGATGAACAGAAAACACTGGAAGTATAAGCGAGGCAGTGATATAAATTAACCTGAACATTATCCAGCTGGCATTTGTAAATAATATGTCTTTACAAAGATGTTTGCATTGTAGTCTTGTATATTAGCTTGTCCTGGAATAAAGGAGACCATTTAACTCTGTCCTGATGCCCTTGCTACATGGCAGAGTGCACAGGTCAGGAGCAGGTGTTGTCCATTTAATCCCCAGTTATAAAGAAATGTGTGCCATTGTTATTTTCATCTCTAGTTACGAGTAGCAGCTCACTGGATCCCATAATGAAGTTATGATGTTAAGGTCGGGAAGTAATGAGGTTAAATTCTTCTTTCAATTAGCAAAAGTGGTAGTGAGACTGGTAAATCTTCCAAGAGATGAGATGTCTAAAGATGCTCAGAAATACTCATGCCCACTGGCAACTACCACTCTACTCAGCAATTTTCATGGATCAAGAACAGAACAGCATTGTAATCCCTTTACACCAGGCTTGGTATCTTGACTTGTGCTGCTTTTGGTTGGAGTAGAGTTAATTTTCTTCACAGTGGCTACTATGGAGCTGTGTTTTCAATTTGTGCTGAACAAAGTGATGACAATACAGAGATGTTATTGTTATTCCTGAGCAGTGCTTACACAGAGCCAAGGCCTTTTCTGCTTTTCATACTGCCACGCTGGTGAGAAGATTGGCGGTGCGTAGAAAACTGTGAGGAAACACATCTGCCACAAGTGAATCCAACTAACCAAAGGGATATTCCACACCATATGACATCATGCTCAGTATATAAAGTAGGGGTGAGAAGGACAAAAGGGTGTGACATTTGGAGTGATGACATTTGTCTTCCCAAGTAGCCATTGCATGTGATGGGGTCATGCTCTCCTGGAAATGGTTGAACACCTGCCTGCTCATGGGAAGTGGTGAATGATTTATCGTTTTGCTTTGCTTGTGTGCATAGCTTTTGCTTTCCCTATTACACTGTTTATCTCAACCCATGAATTTTCCAGCTTTTACCCTGCTGATTCTCTCCCCAGTCCAACTGGTGGGGGAGTGAGCGAGCAGCTGCGTGGGGATTGGTTGCTGGCTGGAGTTAAACTATGACACCATTTTACCACGGCTGTGTTACAGCCTTCCGCCGTATCTGTATAAATAAAAGTCCCCAGCTGCATGCTCAGATCCACCACCATAACTGTCACAGGTGCAGAAAATACAACTGCCCCAAAGGAAGGGCCCCAAGGTAGGGCAAGTCAGGATAATCAGAATCAAGAAACATGGTGTGTGCGTGGGGTGATTCTGCTTCACTCCTTGCACCATGGCCCACAAGCACCTCTGTGGGCCACATAGGAGGGAGGCTCATGGAGAGGAGCCAGGATGTAGTTCATCCCTGCACACCACAGAGACCACTCCTCATTCAGAGGAAAGCACTGAGAAGTTTAACTTTTACCAGAGAAACTCTGCCATGAAGCTTCATCCCTCTCATAAGAAAAAAAAAATCATTTCACAAAAATTATTTCTCTATCAGAGTCCTGAGTTATCTCAGTTACAAAATCAGTTTTGCAATTAACTGGAAAATTAATTTACCAACCGAACATTATTCTTCTTGGCAATAGTTTATCCTGCCTCTGCAATCACCCACTGAAAATACCCTACTAAACAGAAGTGAGAGGAGATAAAATCTAGTAAGGTCTGATGATGAATTGCATCTGGAGGTATCAAAAGTTTAAAGTCTCCAAGAGATGTCCTAGTACTCATCATCCAGCCACTCTCCTGTCAGTTACTACTCCTGCTGGTTTATTTGATAACCTTTCCCTCTAAAATAATTCCATTCCTACTC